CATAAATTAATGTTCAGTATTCAGTACTTTTGTTGCACTTTTCATACAATGTTAGTTTTACTGTCAAAACTGTTTTAATACAATGTTATATTTTGTGAAATGTAAATTTAACAAACCAGAGAAATAAAGACTACAAACAGAATCTAAAATCTAAAATTAAGTAAAATTGTAAGTTTGAGGATGTTTTTGTCGCGCCGGCAGGCAGGCGAGCCGGGAAGCAGGAGAGATCAGCCGGAGATACGGGTAAACGAGTTTTAATTGTAACGAAAGGTGAGACAGGCATGGACATTAACGTACAATACAATGACGAATCTGACGAGACGTACTCAGACGCGGACTAAATACACAAGACTAGCCAGAAATAACAGGACACAGGTGATCACAATCAGGACTTGACACGAGGTAATGAGGGGGCGTGGCACACACGAGGATCGTACGGAGCTGGGCGTGGCAGTTTTGCGTCATGATTTTTTTTTTGAGTAGGGGGGCCACAAAAGGATTCACCCTACACAAGGGGGCCTCCTGCTGAAAAAGTTTGAGAACCACTGTTCTATGGATTAATCTATCGACTATTTTTGTCACGATTGCGGCGGTCGAGCAGGCAGGAAGCGACGATGAGCGAGGCAAGCAGGCAGGATAGCGGGAAACGAGGGTTTATTTGGGAAGATGGGGGAGACAGCGACGCACATCATATCAATGACGGATACCCAACTGAGGAAGACGTGGACTAATATACATGAAACAAGCCGAAATAACAGGGAACAGCTGGGCATAATCGGGGAAGAACACGTGGATGATGAGGGGACTTGTCACACACGAGGATCGGACGAGCTGGGCGTGACAGAACCCCCCCCAAAGGCGCGCACACGGGGCCGGGGAGGTGACGGACGAGAGCCAGAGAAAGAGCCGGAGCAGCTACAGGCGGACCCGGGGCAGCGGCCGGAGGCAGAACCTCGGGCAACGCAGCAGGAACCTTGGGCGCGTGGCTAGCAGGGGGCACCGTAGCAGGCACCACGACTCATGGCCAGAAGGGGGCGCCGCAGCCGGAGTCTCGCTGGGCGTTGCGGTAGCCGCCAGGACAGGCAGAGCAGGCTGGATAGCTCTGACAGGCGGATCAGGCACCGGAAAGACAGGCAGGACAAGCAGATCAGGCAACACAGCGCAACTGATTGGGCTCTTGCCTCCGTAATCCGCTGTGTTAATAGCCGGAGATTCTCGTGTACCTCCTGTACGTGTTTCCGGGCGTTAGTGTCCGTTTTCGTTTCAGTTTTAGTTTACGATAATAACACTGGCCCCAAGAAGCCCAATGCGCACGAAAATACACTGGGATGGTCAATCCACGCGGAATAAGCGGATTTAAGCCTAAACATTTTCTCAAACGCTTATTCAATGGAGATTCTAAGGTGGCAGGCAGACAACTTTTTGGCTCTAATAATGAACGTATTTAGCAGCTACAAGAACAAAAATATTCAAATGCTCTCCATACTAATGACAATTTAATAAACATGAATAGACAACACTTGTGGTGGTTTTGCTTAGTCTGTTGAATAGCACCTGTGTGCTTTATCTTCAGGCGCTAGTGCATAGCGCTGGTGCCTGTGTAGTATGCCATCGAAATTCGCACAGTATAAAACCACTTTTTTGTTTTGTGATAATTTTAACTATTCCCATAATTACGTAGTGATACTAAAGGAAAATATTTCTTATAACGCAATGAAGCGTTTTTAGAAATTATAATGGTAATTTCATTAAAACATTAAAGATGCATCAACGCATTTTCAACATCAACGTCATCAACTATGTTAACTAATCGCGGCAGCCCGAAAAGATATTCTGATTCTGTCTTGCGTCTGTAGGTTCCGGGATAGGCTCTGGACCCCTCACTTCCCTGAATAGGACAGTTTCAGAAAATGAATGGGTGGAAGGTATTCTGGTTATTGCACCAAAGCACTGTTGTCCTCACCTGGCATTATGCAGCCCTAGACGTAACTTAAAATGTTTTTTTAACACAGGAAAAAAATGTACTTGCAGGAACAGACATGCAGCCCTTGTCTGAGGAAAGTAGGAGCTCAGATTTAAAATGAAAGGCATTACCTGACTAAACACTGACGTCTAACTAACTAAGCACTGATTTTCTGATCACTCAACAGGTAGAAGAACCAACTAACAGAAGCTAGTAAAACCGAGCTGTTTCTTCTAAGCTTATTTGGGTCCCTTATCTTGACAATGTCATACTGCAGCCTCATCGTCAGCACTGCAGCCAAAAACATACCTGGCGCCTGATCTTTGTCTTTTACCACCTGGTAATCAAAAACATCATGGCAACATCAAGCACAAAAGCCATCTACAAAGGAACAGATTAAGTCTGAGTCTGAAGAAATACAAAGGAAAAATGTATGGAATATCCATATATAACTAGTTAAATATCTTTAGTGAATAGTACAAACCCATCATTACAGGAGAATATATTGTACGGACACATCATATAAGTCATGGCAATATACCCATATACACAATGTTACCAAGCCAAATCACATACACGCACGCACGCACGCACGCACGCACGCACGCACGCATGCACACACACACACACACACACACACAGGTTTGTAATTATATCTAGGGACTCTCCCTTCATTTCTATGGGGAAAACTCTTAATCACAACGTAAAGCCTTAACCCCTACCCAGCCCTAACCTTAACCATAAGTAACCAAATAAAATATGAGATCTTTGGTACATTGGACCCTCGAGCGGCCTGACATAAGAACAACATAGGTTACAACCAAAATTTTTGTTTTTACTTACAACCAAAGTCTTGAATTACGACCTGAATGCTGGTCAAGGCCAAAACGTGTATCCGCTTGTGCGGTTGTAAACAAAGACCTGAGATGCCCCGAGATACCAGAGAGGCGTTCTTAAGAGTCAGTCTGAGCCCAGATATGCCTGTTTGTGGACGTAATTTAGGTCAGAGAAGTGCTTTATACAATTAATTTCGCTAACTGATACCAAAATGGCCCCAAAAAAGCTAGAAGACAGCAATCACAATTGAAAAGAAGAAGGAAGTTGTGCAGAAATACAGTATGAGAGTGGCATTCATGTGACCAATCTCGCTAATATGTACAGTATGTCGAAATCCACCATCTCGACAATCTTACAAAGAAAAGATTTGTATAAGAAAGCTAGTGTTGCTAAAGGTGTTACTCAAATTAGTAAGTTATGATCAACAGTTAGACAAGTTAGAAAAGCTATTATTAGTGTGGATAAACAAAAGGCAAATGGCAGGTCATAGCCTATCTGAGTCTATAATTTGTGAAAAAGCTAGAGCTGTAAATGCAGATCTCGTAAAGGATAAGCCATCAACAAGTGATAATGATGAAACATTTCATGCCAATAAGAGGTGCTTTCACAATTTTAAAACAAGAACTGGGGTTCATAGCATAGCTAGGCATGGTAAAGTAGAAAAGGGCTGCTGAAAATTACATGCATGTAATATACGTAAATTACACACACTATACAACCCTTTATTTATTATGAGAGGGTTAAGTTATGGGTGTTTTGGAGGTTCGGAATGCATTATGGGTATTTCCATTATTTCTTATGGGAAAAAGAGTCTTGATTTACGACCAACTTCAGTTACAACCAGCCCACTCAAATGAATTGAGTTCGTAAGTCAATAGTCTGTATTTTTACTTTTTTGATTACATTCACAGATCTTGGTGGGTACCAGAAAAACGGTCCCCACAATGTCAAAAAAACAGGTTTTTATTACATTGTGAGGGAAATTTGGTCCCCCGCAATGTAACATAAACCTAATCCACGCGCACACACACACAGACACACACACACACACACACAGAGGCGAGTACCTTCCATGGTGTGGCAGGGTGACAGTGTAAATCTGTTCAGTGGGCAGGACATTCCCACAACGGGTGCTAGAGGGCAGCTCCACAGACCTGATACTGACTATGGCTTCCCAGTCTTCTGTGGACTAAAGTGAGGGGTTTGGGCGAGAGGTATAGGCAAATTTAGCATTTGGGAGAGTTAGTCAAACACTATCCCCTTTCCGCTGCGGAGAGGTGATCCACAAGTTGTTGAATGCGGGCGCTAGCAAAGCCATGTACTCTGAAGCACTATTAGTTAGCAAAAGGTTTCATTCTGACTTTGAACTGATTAAAACAATGCAAATCACACACTTAAATAGCAACGTGCTGGCATAACACACACCTCTGGCTCATAGCGAATCAGGATGTCATAGTCCATAGCATATGAGATGTTGTTGATGGTAAACACAAGACCGGCGCCATCCTTGACCCTGGCAAACCCAGGTCCGGTCCAGGTGACCATTTGGTCAGGAGTCCTGACCCTGTTAATGATCTGTATATCTGGCTAAGAAACACATGCAACACATCATTTAGCACACCTCCTCTAGGATTTATCCAGCGACACAAAAATCAAAATATGAATGCAAAACACTGTTAAACATACCAATCAATAAAATGCTTCGTAATACAAACAGTCATGTATCAGAGAGAAACAGGGGACACAAACAAGGGAGAGAGTTACTTTTTGCTGCAGCTGGCGGATGCGTCTCAATGCTGCCCTCTGTTGCTGCATGCTGGCTATGCGGCGGTGACGGCGGTGCCTCTGCAGCTGGTTGTTGAGATGCTGCACACAATCGACTTCAGCCTTTGGTCGTGGGTGTCCCTTAGGGGCGGAGATGAGACAGAAGCAGGTAATCAACTTTGTGTCACCACATGAAAAAGGTACAATAACACAAGACTTTTTTCCATATGTTATTGTTTTTGTGGGTTTCATCTAAAACGACTTAATACAACACAGGATAATTCCCACTGAACAATTTAAGGTAAGTACCTAATTTAAAGTTCATGTACCAGGGCCTTTGCACTGAAACGTGTCATTACCGATCCAGAACCCAGTTCACTAGCTACCAGCCACAAGCGTGATCAATCCCCAAGGTCATGCCCACTTCTAGATGATCCTAATGTCTAATTATCCACACTTGCAATCAGTGTATGCGGAAAGAAAACGTGACATTGGTAGGCCCAGGAGGGCAAGCATATTGGGTCTGTTATGTCTTAGGCCTTAGGCAAGAAGAGACTGTTTGAATACTGTGTGTCCTCGCCTCATGATAGCTTGCATGTGGTTAGTTCCGCAGACCCTGAAGAGAGATCAGACCTTGGAGAGATGGACAGCGGAGAAGGTGAGGCAGAAAATGCCTGCAGGAAGGGATTCGAAGCCACCCCAACTGGTGCACAAAGAGTTGTAATTATAAAGTAGTCGCAGTAGGCCATACACAATATGTCATGCGGTAGTACAAATGAAAAAGTAGTTACCATGTTAATCATATGTTAACCATGTATTTACAGTTATTCAATGTCTATATAATCAATATCTCAGTGATGTCAGTATGCCTGGGGGGCGGACAGTTGACCTTGGACCCTCAGAGGTTTTTTTTCTCCCTACTTGGGAGTTTTTGGTTCCTCTCCTCCATTGTCTTCTGGCTTTCTTCTTTCTTTATTCAATTTCTTTCCTATCTTCTTTCCTGTTCTGTGTCTCCCTCTACTTATGTTGTATGTATTACAACACAACCCTGTAAAGCACTTTGGGACAACTTTTTTATGAAAGGCGCTATATAAAAATTAATTGAATTGAACTAAATATCTATACCCATATCTCAAGTAGGAGCCTAGCAGTCAAGACATGTTTTGGAAAATTGAGCAAAATGGGTGGATTTTACCTTATACCAAGGTGAATCAACAGAGTAGGAGAATTATGTTTGTTATACATTTGAGTTTGGTTTGTTGGTGTTTTGTGACCAATCAGGACTTAGAAGTCCTTATAGGGAATTGAGAGTTATGGTTTATCAACTGGTGCTGAGCCCTTTTGCCCGAAACTGTACCGTGCTAAGGACCTTGTTAATATAATCCTGCCGTTGTGACATCTTTGGGTAGTCTTGTCGTGTGGATATTTTGCCATAGACTATTGCTTTAGTCCGGCTCTACCCTGTACATCAGTAAGAGCCAGGCATTTTAAATTATCCTCCCACTTTCTCTGTAGAGGCTGCCTTTCTCACATGAGCCTCGCCCAGTTTGGGGATGGCAGGACTCCAGTGATTTGATGCTTCAATGGCTGTTAATAGGCATCCCGCTGTGGTTCCAGTGAGGCACTGACTCATCCCCTCGCCTGCCTTCCCACAATGCCCACAAAAGGCCAGGCCCTCCTCGAGGACACACAATGGGACGGGAGGCCAGCTTGTCTGTCCTGCTTCCCGATGGGGAGTCACAGGGTCACCGACTTGCAGGTCTCAACGTCATGACCCTCAGTGTCATGGGTTAACCCATCATATTCTACACCATTCATCAGCTAGTTCTGAGTTTTCTGTCCCAACACTAGTGCCATTTTCAGTTCTTTGAGTCTCGTCTAAAATTTTGTCCCCACTGATACCAATGAAGTTGCATAGAAGATGAGGGCATAGTCTTAGGTTTGTTGCCCAGTGGCTGTAGGACCTCACAGAGGACCTACTGTTCTCTTCTGTCACCTGAACATAACTTGCACTGTACAATACTCACAGGAAGAAATGTACTCTATGTAGAAAAGCTTTCTAAACAATTGGCTGTCTTAGGCAAGTATGTTCCTTTAATCATGCAGCAATTCAGGCTAAAAGTCAGGCTGTGTCACATGACCTTCATTAGAGAAATAAGCAGCATCTTGCAGCGGAGCCATTTGTAACCCTATCCTTCTGGTGGCTTGTGATAACAGCTGTGCTCCACAATGTTTGTAAACATGTCTAGACTTCTGATAGAGTTTATTTGGCATGTGTGTTTTTGTCTGGAGAAGGAGGACATGTTAAATCAGGAGGAGGCAGATTTCTGTGCATCCAGCTCTCTGGCGTGTATGTAGGCAGGATGTATGTATGCCTCTGTGTCTTTCATGAAATCTATCTTGTAGTGATCAGTTTTCTTTAATGTTTGTTATCTGCTAGATATAAAATTAACCAGTTCAGTGGAGTTTTCGTGAGTTGGTTTGTTCCTGTGTTTTGGAAATTCAGAGTTAAACATCGTTAAGGTCATTAAAATCGCAGGCTTGCAGGAAGTCCCCATAAAAAACATGAGCAGGATATTGTGTGAGAGCATGCACATGTGCTAATTATGCTTGATAAGCTGGCATTTCAATGCTCTGATCTTTTTCTGCGTCACTTCAAACCCAGGAAAGGATCAGGTCTGTGTGCTTAACATGCATCTGGACTGTCCGTGTCTAATCCAGCCAGGCCTCTGAAAGCATTCAACAAACTGAATGCAGGGGCCATGGTGTCAATACATGTCAAGTATCTATTTAAGATAAGTGGATAGAATACACAGACATGATTTCCCAACATGTACGGGAAGGAGTTCAGGTCCACTGTACATCAAAGGTGTAACTCAGAGAAATAGACCACCAGCAGCTGAAAGACCCCTTAAATAGAGATCTCCTGCCTTCGCCTTGGGCCTGGGGGGG